TCTGATTGCATTTGAGGTTGTTTTATTTCTGATATAAAAGAAAAAAAAGTTTGCATTTTTATTCAACACGAAAAAAATTTAGTATCTTTTCCCTAAAAGTTAGCATATTTCATGGAAAACAATCAACCCTGATGTACAAAAAATACTGAAATCTAATGGAATTTCGTAACTTCTATCAAAATAAAGAAATTATTACATTCGTTTTCAACACAAAAAAAGTTAAAGTATTTATTTCTTTACAATTTTGAAATGAAGTATGAAATTCTTATAAAAAAATCGTTACTTGAGGCCTTATGATTTTGAATAAAACATACCACGTTCAAGTACAAGAGAATATTAAGTAATACATATAATGCTTGAAAAGTAATTTGTATATTATTTATGTGTTATTGCAACCAGTTGATTAAAAATTAACGAGTAAAGGTGTCTTCGTAGAGGTCCGCGTTTATCGAATGTAAATACTGTGGAGTTCGTTTTACATAAGAATTTTAATTATATACGTATCCGTCCGATCCGTGCATATAATTACTTTACTGATCGATCGCTGACCGTTGTCAAGGTAACTCTCACATAGCTTATTTGACGTATCTGACGGATTCTATGGGTCATCGATCACCGATCAGTCATCGATCAGTCAAACATCCGTCACCGATCATTCACCGATCAGTCAAGTTCACGTCAAACAGTAACGCCTAAGGTTGCAAGTACTGTATACCCAAAAGACAGGTGCCTCTAAAATCACTGCAGCTGACGAACAATACATAAGAACTCCTTCTGAAGTCAAGGGAGAGAGTGAAAATGTCTGCTGTGACAATGAGTTCATAGCAAGTGGTAAAAAGGAAGAGTACAATAAAATATCTATGAGTTCAGACAGTAATAAATCACATGATGTTTCAATGCAAGACAACAATTTGGAAGGTGCTACTGCCTATGTTCACTACCTTTCATCAGTACTTTTAGAGAACATGAAACAAAATCATTCAGAGGGCGGACAGGGTTTTAAAACAAAATCACAAACATGTGAAAATATAAAACCCAACTTAGATAAGATATCATCAGCCTCTGCTAACAGTAAACAAATAGTTTGTTTACAGCTACCTAGCAAACCTGTTGTTAAAGCTACACCATTATGTTTGCCTTCTCTCCAAAAAGATACTAAATCAAAATCAGCAACAGTACCTGTTAAAAGCAAAAAATCAGTCAAACAATTAGATTTTAATAATCATGTGACTGATGGGCAACCTTCGGAGATTGTTGTGTTTAGTAACAATGTTCAAGAGGAAGTCAGCAATGAGGCATTGCTTGAATTAGCAGATCTGCAGCTTAAAAACAGAAATCAACATGAGGCTAAAACTAATATTGCTCATATTTTAACCAGATTAGATCAAGAATTTAACCTAATGAGAACAAGCCAAAACTTTGATCAAAGTAAAACCTTGTTGGATGATCATAGCAAAAATATTGGGAAACAATACAAAATGTGTTTCCTCCTTCTCATGAAGGTATGTAATATTTATTTTTTCATTCATTGTCCATTATGTTACTTACAGTATATTTTGTTATTAACTGTATTCGTAAGATGTTCAATCACTCATTGTAGTATGTGTATTCTTGTGTATAATTCTGCTATTAATGATCAAGTTGATATTTTTTGTTAAGCTAGTTTACTTTTAAATTGTGGTCACATCAACCATGTCAACCATACACATTTCAGATGGTTACCGTATATCGGCTTTTTTTCGCGATTTGATGACAAAATGGGCAGGTTAAATTTTCACTGTGTATAATTTTCGCTGAATGGGAAAATACACGCGAAAAATAACTGTATTGCATTGTTAAAAATGTAAACAACGTAAACTTGACTCACTAACAGGTAATCGATTGCAAATAAATATGAGCACTACAAACGAAAATACACATAATTCAGTGAACTTTCAAGGAACATAAAATATGTACAGACATTGGGGTATGCTAAAAATTGAAGGTTTTGATCATTACAGATAAACAAATATCCATGTAAATGTGATTTATTTATATTTTTTATTTTACATCAGATGCAAAATGTTCGCGTTATGACACCAATTAATAGATCGTCACTAATTAACATCTTTTAACCTGTCACTGATTGCTGTGTTGTCAAAAGGTGTGCCATGTTTGATTAATCATTTTAATTATTATATAAACAGAGATATTAATTAAGCATACACTTTCTTGTGATTTATCAAACAATATTTAGGCTAGGTGAAAGGGTGACATTTATAATTTTATTATGCAATTAACCTTTATGACAACAAAATTGTGATTTCAAATAGGTCCCACTCAAAAATATTTTGCAATTTACTACTGGTAAAAATATATATATGTTAATGATTCTGTCCACAGTTGCCAATGTTATAGCTGTTTTGGCATTAAGGATACAAACTTATTTCTTTTTGATTTTTGTTCCCTATGGTTACTTAGAGCAGGCGATATAGAAGTACATGTACCAAGCATCTGTCAGTTTGTGCATCTGTCAACCCTTTGAGTCCTGTATGCACTTTATAAACTCTTTCATTTTTTTATTGGATTTCTATGATCAGCTATGTCATTGAGGTGTTCGAAAAATCAGCGTCCCTCAACTATTTTGATAGGATTTTTACGCCTTTGGAAATGTCAAGATGCTTGATTTCTTGATTGACAACATGTTTGTTTCATTTGGAGGACATGTTTTCCAACAAACTTATTATATAAACAGAGATATTAATTAAGCATACACTTTCTTGTGATTTATCAAACAATACCAGTGATTTTCCTGCCTTTTTTTTTGGGTCCGAATATAGGCCCCATTCCCAATTAGAAAAACCCTATTTTTTTCCCAAATGAACACTGAAAATTCCCAATTTAATCAAGTTTTATCATTAGTATGAAAAATCCTGATGATATATATTAAATTAAAATGCACCAAGAAAAAAAATGATATGTTAAAATTTGGTCATGATAGGAAATTGGAATTTTAATAAATAACCTTATTAAACTATGATGAAAACAATGATTTATTTTTTCCCAATTCACACTTTATACGACACATTTTCCCAGGCCCCATTTGAAAAAGGGTAGGAAAATCACTGAATACTAAAGACTCAACAATCAACTGTATAATATATGAAACTTTTAAACAATGATAAATCTGGGAATATGCAGTGTAACTTACGCGGGGTAAAGTTTTCGCGTTTCTTTAGCAACCACGAACAAAGCGAAAATGTGACACACGCGAAAAATACCCGATATACGGTATTATGATGTGAAATTTTTAAATTACTCTATGGTTCACTAAACATAGATAGTCTGAAATTGATGCATTCTCAGGTTAAAGGTTTTTGTTAAGATAGTTAAATAACAATAAAACCATGAAATTGTGGTCACTAAGTACACATGTTCTTTGTGAAGTAAACTTTAAAATTGTATGCCAAATTGTGACTTTGACCCAGATTTCATGATTCACTGAACATGGACACATGATAGTTAGAGCTTGGCATGGTGCCCTATGGACACATATTTGTCTTCTTTTAGGTTTAGTTTTGTCCATCTGTATGCAAGTATGTATTTGGTTCAGTACTGTGTTTTAGTCTTTTTCTAAGAAACACATGTCTGATGTTTCACTTTACATTCCATTTAAACAGTTTGTTGAGATTTGAGTCACCTTGTCACCAATTTCTCGCTTGAAGGTCAAATGCTTACTCATATATTGGCAGAATGTTTCAGCAGAACACGCCTATAAAGGATGTTCGCTACCCAATTTCAAAATAACAAGCTTTTTAAAAGACTACTATAAATTGAAATTGTATGAAAAAAGGAACTAAAAAAAGCAGAAAAAATTAAAGGGTCTATGTGCTTGTTTTCGAGATATAAGCCATTGAAAATTTGGCGGGAAATCATTCTCTTTAAATTTTTCATACATTAAATGTTGGCACCTTTTTTCTTTCAAAAACTATGAAAAAATATCAACGATTTTATAAGATTTTCAAATATAGCTTTTAAAACTATATGTAATAAAATTATGAAAAGAAAAGTAGGGGTTAGCGGGCAAAATATTTATTAGGACTGCATGGATAAAACCAGAGGATTCCGAATATCTGACAAAAAATTCAAAAACAAGAGGAGCGAACATCCTTAAGAGATTGAAGACACGCAAATTATTTTTCTATAATCTATGCCACTCAAGTAATAATGATAATAATAATAATAAATTCTTTATTTAAAGAGGGTAAACACAGTTAGTTACAATTACTAATCTTCCCTGAGGCCCTCATATACAATACAAGTAAACAAATAATAATAAGAGAAAAAAAGCAAACATACAACATATTAACACATAGTCAGTTCACAATCGTATAGTCATGATAGTTCAGTGTACATGTACCATTAGAACATATAAAATAGTTACAGAGTGCATGTAGTAAATAGATATTATATACAAATCAAAATCATACATTCTAAAAAAGTAATAGTTGCAATCATTTCAAGACTGAATATTTGTACTACCTCAAGTATCGTTTTATAATTTGTTTTAAAACAAAAAGTGTTTTGCACTTTACGCATTTCATATGGTAGTCCGTTCCATAAAACTGATCCAGAAAAAGCAAAAGATTTTTTAAACAGTTCAGTTTTTGGCTTAGGAACTATCAAATTACATTGAGTAACACCCCTTAAAGCATAAGGATTATAAACAGATATAAGTTGAAACTTTTGAAGTAGGTACTGTGGTGCTTCTTTCCGCATACATTTATATAGCAGTAAATATTTGTGGTATTTGATTCTATTTTCTACTTTCATCCATCCAAGTTCTTTAAATAAGGGGGCTGATGGGGATAAAGGGTCTGCATCAAGAATTAATCTTGCTGCTCTTTTTTGAAGTTTTAATATTCTTAATATCCCTTCATTTTTACATTCTCCCAAAACAATACAGCAGTAATTGATGAGCGGCAGAATATATTTTTTATAACTCATATTATGTATAGAACAATGAGTTATGAAGTTGATGTACCAGGATTTCCTGCCAACAACCCACAGCAGTATACAGCTATCAAGAAAGCTATGATGTCTAAGTTCAGTTTGATTCAGGGACCTCCAGGTATGTTACAATTTTACATCTTAATTGAACAATTATGCAATAAACAAAGCTAAAGCTTGACTTCCTTTGGCTATTTTTGATGATTTATCAGTAATAAAATATAACTTGGAATGTTTCGGCCAATCAACATTAAGAAATTGTATAAAACTTGTATGTGATGGAATAATGATAATGTCATTATTCACACAATCAAGACCTTCGAAGTTTGAAATAGTTCTTTAGCTATATAACTTACTGTTACAATTACAAACTTTTCTTCAGTATTCATATATTTTAATATGTTTTATAGGAACAGGGAAGACCTTCACAGGAGTCAAACTTGTGTATTTATTTAATAAGTTGAACAAGCTATCTCAGGAGAAAGATGGAAAGAGAAGACGTGTGATTTTCTGTGGACCATCAAATAAATCTGTTGATCTAGAAGCAAGTATGTGTAATTATGTCTCAACTTCATCCATGTTTGGACCAGAACTTTTTATCTCTGGACTAATAAATTAAAATAACTGACATATGTCAGATTTTTTTTTTTTTTTGCATACAAGTACAGTCAAACATGCTTTAACCTTGTTTCAGTGGTGACCTACCTCTAACTGACAGTCTCAGACCCTCCCATACGTTGTTTTCTATATCATTTAACTAGTTTCAGCAGTTGCCTAATTTTTCGCACAAAATGGTCATTTCAACTTTTAACAATGGTTATTTAAATCTTATTACCAATCAAAATATTCATGGCGAAAATTTATATGTTCAGTATCGAAGTCAAAATGAGAATTGGAGCCTGTTTGAAACCGAGATAGCACAATAGGAAGTAAATTCCTAGTGTTCCACTCCTTACTAATACAAACCAAAAAAATCAAAAATCAATTATATCTGAATTCATGCTGTGTATCAGAAAGATGCTAAATTTAAATTGAATTGTTCAGTTATCAAAAATTTCTTACACTAGTAATATATTGGGAAAATTATATTTTAGTATGTTGAAATTGTTTTACTATATAGCATTATAACAATTACATCAAATATTGTCATAGTTGATACAATGTTCAGTTGAAAAATTTACCAAGCAAGAATATGTTAAATACACTAATTAACAAAAGATATAAATGAAAAAAGAATACATGAAATGCTCAGCAAAATGAAAAGTATCAAAGACTTTTGATCAGTCCAGATAGTTCCATAATATATCTGGAGAAATGCTGAGAGATCTTAATAGCAACAATAAAAAAAGTTTTAATTTTAAAACTACATAGAACATTTAATTAAAGTTACATGTGACCTGCATCATTTGATAAGAATGGAATAACTTTGACTCTGATTTTCACCATTTTTAACAACACAAAAGAATTTTTGAAAACATTTTGTAATCTATATGTTTTGGTTACAGGATGGGTAGTGAATAAACTTGGAGACAAGGCTCCCAAAATAGTCAGAATGTACGCTAGTGCTTATGAATATCTCGACTTTCCTGTACCTGGCCGTGCTATCATTTCCAGTAGGTCGATGAGGTCTGCTCAATCAGATCAATTATTAAATGAGAAGGGTGTAGTACTTCATCATATCATTAGATCAGATGGAAAGCCTCATGCAGCAAAAATCCAAGAGTTTGATGCTAAGTTTCATGCAGACAACATTATAATAAAAGAAAATGAGAAACTGCCCCATGAGCAAAAAATACCAGTCAACACAAAATTGCAGGACATTTATGAATACAAACATATGTTACACACTGCCACTGTAGAAGAGTTAGATAATTATGATGTAATATTTTGTACCACCTCCCTGGCGGGTAATCCACGGTTGTTGACTGCTACAAAAGATCAAGTGGCTCAAGTCATCATTGATGAATGTGGCATGTGTTCCTAGCCAGAGAGTATGGTTCCAATCATTGCCACACATGCCACTCAGGTTGTTCTTATTGGTGATCACAAACAGTTACGTCCAATTATTATGAGTCGTGAGGCATCAGAGCTAGGTTTGGAGAAATCTTTGTTTGAGAGATATTCCATTGACCGTTCTCTGATGACAATGTTAGAACAACAGTATAGGATGGTAAGAATGTAGCTCATTCTAAATATAGAACATATTAAATAACCTACTCATTCACCTATAAAAAGACTAATATGAGGTAGGTGCTACCTGATGAGCTCTCAAAGGTTACTGTTCTATAATCAGATACCGTATAGCGGGTTATTTTCGCGGGTGTAAAATTTCGCGATTTAGGGGCAACAAAGTATACGAAAAATTTTGGCGGTTTTTATTTTGGCGGATTCTTTAATCCCAATTAAATATTTTGGCGGATACTGAAGTGGTTCCAGTTAAAAAGTTGTAAAAATTGACAAACAAGGGTCTATTGTTATGGTTAAATGATTGTTTTTCCTGCATGAATTTATTTATTGATTATTTTACAGTTAATCAATAGAATACCGGTACATAGTTATTTTTCACAGGTGTACAAACTTCTTGTAAATGTTACGGTTGATCAGTTACGAAATTTACTAATTAGATTATAAAATTATCATGAGTGACTTGCAACTCTTATATAATTTGACACCAATAAATAAGGATAAAATACCTGACAGCGTACCTTACACTCTTATATTATTATTTATTTTATCACGTTACCAATAAATTAATTAACACCTGATAGCCAGTGAACAATGGCCTTTGGCATTTATGTTGTTTAAATTAACAAAAACCCTGATTGATCCGTCGAAAGGGGAAAAATAGATAGTTTACAAAACACTTTAACTTAGAAAGTATCGAACGTATGCACTAATTTTCGCGGAATTTATTTTCGTGATTTCTTCTGGCCCGCCAAAATAAGCGAAAATAACCCGCTATACGGTATATACGAAAATGTTGGAAATCTTACAGACACCAATTTGCAGGGAAATCATATGCTCAGTATGTTATTACTCCTGACAAAACATCCCAAAAAAGGAATGAAAAACCTGTTATTCCCACTATAGACCAAATTGACCCTTATTTCATTCGGTAGCATAATAAGTTACAATGTTAAAAGTTAAGATAAATAATTCCTCCCTTAAAAATTTTAAGATAGATGCTCTGTTTTATTCTTTCCATCATTCCCTCTGTACATGTTTTTAAGTCTGTCTGCTGTCTTATGAACATATTAAAAAAAGTTATAATTGTGACTTTGCGAATCATTGGCATATTTCTTTTAAAATATCAATTCACCATATTTAATCTAAATTAGTGGAATAACAAAAAGCTACATAAAAGAGTGTACAAGAAATAAACACAAGAACAAGCATAACAATATTAAACAAATTTTACATATCAAACAATGCTCACAGTTACTGAAAGTAAGCACGAAGTACTTAACATGCTTATATGAAATCATGCCACTCTACACTTAAAATTGGCAAATCTACTGTGAACTAGATTTAATACACTATCATCATCAGGTCTGATTGTGTGCATTGCCCAAGGTAAATCTCTCAATAATTTCAATGCAGAAAAAAACAAAAGAAACATTTAACAGAAAAGAAAGGTCATACTATATATTAGTGACTGATATTAACCCCCCAAACAATACATCATGTTTGATCAACAACATATTATAATATTTACAAAATATCTATTCAACTTCAACAAAATATTGGAAGAACAATTTTTTAAACTTGTTTACCCTATACATATTATTACTGTAAAAAGCTGGATTTGAACTACTTTATTTTAATAATTTAAAAATGCCTGAGTGGTTTCTTACATAAATGTGTGTGTGTGAGATAAAATTTAGAAAAGTTATTTAGAACAATATACTATATCTATATCATTGTAAATATTTTGCAAATGAGAATATTATGTTCATTGAATTCTGAGATGTCACTTAACCAATAAAATGTCACCAGCAAGGAAAGTATTTTTATACCAGAGACTAGTAACCAGTTCAAAATCTCAGAATTGAATGTGGTTCAAAAGAAGAGGCAGAAAGAAATTGAAACTGCAAGGCTGAAATATGTAGCCCAGGTGACAATAGAAAACAAAATTAGGAAATGCCTGCCAATTTCTCAAAATTTCGATTAGGGATTTAAAAAACAAGAGGACTATTAAAAATGTGTTTTTATTAAATTTTTTTTACTATGTATTTCAGTGCTTCATAAATGCAGGTTTATACAAACTTGGTGTATGTATTCAGTCTGTAATTGTCTCTTATTGTAATTTTCTTGTAGTCTCTTGTATATTATCTGAAATCTTTTCTGAAATCTTATAGGTGTAAATAATTCCTGTAGTTTAAGAAAGTGGTAGTTTATTATTGAAATTATTTCCGGTCAGCATGGCGGCGCCCATGTGTTTTCAAGAACAAGTATAAATTAACCAAATTGTGGCCTGAAAACTGAAAGTATGAACTTTTAAATATAGCAAATAGTGAAATGTAAAGAACATATTACAAATAGAACTATCAAGATAAAAAGCAGAATTGCGGATTAAGAGCAAAACATGCCAAGTCCAAGAGCGCCCCACAACACGAGGTTTAAAACGGGCACCATGCCCTTTCAATATACTCCTGAATCAAACCAAGGAAGTTTTACCTTATCAAATGACTCCTTATTTCTTTGGAGAAGAGCATTGATATTTAGATATATCAAAATAAGTGGAAATGACCCGAGTACAAGAATTTTATGGAATGATTATGACCGTAGTTCGCAAAAACTTCAAATCTCAGACTCGGACAATAAAAACAAATTTATAAATAAACAACCACATAAAGATTTATTTAAATCAACTGTGTCAGTTAGTGTTGGGAAACAAAAACTGTTTGTTGTAACAATATTTTATACAACAAAAACTGGCATGGTTCAGGGTCAGGCTTCAAATACCTGGCTCCAGACAGAGTTCAAGTCCATCAATGAAGTGATTAACACTATTATAGAATTACAAAAAAAAGACAATAGCAATTATGATGTAGATAATCTTTTTGGTGAAATACAATCAAACATGTGCATACTAAATCAAAATCCGAAAAGGGACGAGAGTGAAGAGACACAAGTAAACAAAAACAATAACAATTCAGATCAGCTGGTAACAACAAATAAGCCTCAGGAGAATATCAACAATAAGAATATGAAACAAGGTGAGGAATTGTCACTTTCTAATCATGAACATGATGAACAATCTATTACGTGCCAACTGCAGAAACAAAAGACAGAAATAACAAATCTTACAAAAACAATTCATGCTCTAGAAAATGAATTGGTGGAAAAAGATGCAAAATTAGACTTATTTATAAGTGCATGTCAAGAACTTAAATCAAGGGTAGACAAAATGGAAAAAGAAAAGATTGATGAAGATAAAATGTGTATGCAAATGAATATTATTAAAGAGAAAATAAAACATGAAATAAATGAACAAATTCAAGTTAAATCTACACAATTAGAGCAACAAAACAGACAGTTAGCTTTAGAGATTAGTCAAGAAAACAACATCAATAATGCAAAAAATATAGAGAAATTAAATGGAATTGAAAAGGAAATGAAAGAGATGTGTGTAAAATCAAAGGAGAAATCTGAAAACTTCACTAGTGATAAAAATATTACTGAAACTCAACAATTAATAGCAGATCAAACTGTACATGTAGCTACTAGAAACTCAAACAACAAATCACTGACCAACGTTGGTAGCAAAACTAATGATGAAAACAACACCATGGTTTATAATAATAACAACAGTACGACACATTCTGCCACAGCTTCAAATAGCAGCTCAACAGAACAAATCAAAAATGAAATGAAAGACATTACAGACGTATGGATTATAGGATCTTCGATCATTAAAGACTTAGATGCAAAAAAAATGTATCAATACAAAAGAATAAAAGTAACTACTTTACATGACAAGACAGTGTTTGGTGCAACTAAATTCATAACATCAGGCAAAGTAAAAGCCAAAAATATTGTGTTCCAGATTGGATCAAATGACATTGAAAAACGACAGACAGAACAGGTCATTATGGAGATAGAAAATCTTATACAACAAACTAAAGAATGTGTACCTGAAGCTACTATAACATTTGGGGAATGCCTACCAAGAATTTACAGGGACAAACTACATACTGAAGAGTACAATGAACGTGGACACATTCTAAATTTATAATTGTCAGAACTGTGCAAAGAAACAAATTGTCATTTCATAAAATATGATTATATTAGTCCAGATCATTTGAGAGATGGCATACATCTAAAAGGTTATGGTATTGCAATACATGTTAGATGTATGAAAAGGGTCATTAATCCTTTAATTGGTGTAAAATCAGGGGATAGAAGAGATCAGAATATACATGGATCTGATTATAAAAAAGTACCAAATTATGGTCAGAAAGGTGTGCAATATATGCATAAAAATTATCAGGCACACACTGGTAATTATATGAAAAAAGATCAATTTAATAGTTACTATGGTCATAATCAAAACCAAAACATGTTTTCACAAAGTAATCATTCTAATAAATATAGGAAAGATCAAGTTGAGGGTAATGGAAACAGAGATAGAATGCTTGAAATGATGGAATTTATGCTCCAAGAAATGAAAAATATGAGGTATTAAGTCATGCAATATCAAATGTACATGTAGGTACACTTGCATTTTAGAATGTAAATATTCAAGTTTTGATAAGAAAATTTTAGTCTAAATAATAAAAGGATTAACTAGTATTATTACAACAATAAGATGATTAAAAAAAAAAAAGTACATGTAATGAGATAAAATTGCTTATTTTTCAATATACATTGTACATGTTCGTGATGGGTTTTTAGAAAAATATATTAGTTTCATGAAGAAATGTAAAAATATCTGTATATATATTTTTTTGGGTGATTTATTATGTTAAAGTTAGTTCTACAGAACACTTGTAGTATTCAGTTAGTTCTACAGAACACTTGTAATATTCATTTTAACAATGAAAAGAGTTATTTCCCTTAGACTGTATTGTTAGCAGTCATGAATAAAAAAAAAAAAAAAATAAATTTGGAACTATTATTGCAGTTTAAATCTATCATGTTTATAGAAACATTAACCAAACTGTCTAAATATAATTGAAGGTTTTCAGGCTAACAAGAAGGTTTAATATATATCTGGCACTAGTCAAAATTAAAAATGAACAGGGTTCATAAAAAATTGTCAATTTCCTCATGGAATGTACATGGCCTTGGGGATAAGATGAAAGACCCAATGTTTCTGGATTTTTTACATAAAGATATAAATATACTTTTAGAAACCTGGAAGGGGGGATCAGAAGATTTTAAAATTGAAGGCTATAACATTATCTCTAAAATACGAAAGAAAACAAAAAAAGCCAAAAGACATAGTGGAGGCATTATAGTCACAATTAAAAAACAATTTTATAAGGGGATTTCATATCTTAAAGATGCTACGTCATCCCAGAATAGATTATGGTTAAAGCTTGATAAGTATTTCTTTGGACTTAATCAAGATATATATCTTTGTGCTGTTTATATTCCCCCTTTTTCATCAGCATATTATGATAGTGACTTAGAAAATCTTGAAAATGAAATTAGTTCATTTTCTATTGAAGGACAAATTATTTTAATTGGGGATTTTAATTCTAGAACTGCAATGAAAGCAGATTACATAGAAAATGACTCAGATGAAATAAATAATTTTGATGGTATTGACCTTCTTCCAGAGAGCTATATAACTGATACTGAAATCAGAAGAGTAAACCAAGATAACACTTTGAATACATTGGGGAATAAATTACTTGAATTATGTTCATCCTCAAGGCTACATATACTCAATGGCCGTTTTTTTGGGAGATTCCCTAGGATATTTTACTTATATGTGTAATACTGGGTTCAGTACAGTTGATTATGCCATTGCAAGTGAGAGTCTCCTGCCTGAGGTAAAATACTTTAAAACAAATGACTTTACATATTTATCAGATCATGTTCAAATAAACTTATATATGAATTGTTCTATTATATCAGATACATGTATGAAGAAATGTCTAGATGAAAAGAGATGGCATTTGATTAAATCATACAAATGGACAGAATTGTCATTTTCAAAATTAATTGATGTTCTATCAACAGAAAATGTTAGAAAGGAAATTTTGGATTTAGAGATGCAACAAGTGATAGCAATAAACTAGGCATTGATGGTGCAACTGAAAAACTTACAAAAATTTTACAAAATATTGCAGAAAATACATGTAAAGGCATATCTAAACCAACTAAAAAGAAAAAAGAAAAAAATTAAACAAGTATGGTCAGATAATACAGTATATGAAACAAAAAGACAAATAAACTATATAGGAAATAAAATCAAGAATAACTTAAATGACAAAAGTTTAAAACCTAAATATTTTTAATTATGTAAAAAACTAAAAAAAATGATTAAACAGAAAAAATTTGAATATCACCAAAAACTTTATAAATCACTTTCAGATAATTTTAAAAATAATCCAAAAGAATATTGGAATGTTCTAAAGGCAATAAAAAAGAAACCAAATATTGAAGAAGATATTCCTGAAATTTTAATGAATGAAAATAAAATCATAAAACATTTTCAGGATCAGGGTACACCAACATCATATGATAAACCCTTTGTAAATAAACTGGAACGTGAATTAAACATTCTAGAGGATAATATTGAATTGAATATGGAAACTGATGCACCAATTACATTTGCTGAGGTAAAACTGGTCATTATAAACCTTAAAGTAAACAAATCAGCAGGTCCAGATAGAATTGTGAATGAAATACTCAAACATTCACAACCTGTGATAATTAATTCTATTGTAAAAGTTTTTAATTTGATTTTAAAGACAGGTAATTATCCAGATTCATGGAAATTATCTTTCATGATCCCTTTACATAAAAAAGGTGACAAGTTAGACCCTAATAATTATAGAGGGATTTTTCTTATAAGTAATCTACCAAAACTTTTTAATGCCATATTGAATAATAGGCTAATCAAGATTGTTGACAAACAATTAAGTGATTGTCAGTTTGGTTTCAGAGAAAATCACAGAACAGCTGATAGCATCTTTTTATTGAAGTCCTTGATTAATAAATATCTACATAAAGAGAAAAAAAAAGATTTATGCCTGCTTTATAGATCTGAAAAAGGCTTTTGATTCAGTATGGAGAACTGCTTTACTTTATAAATTATGCAAAATGGGAGTTGGCAGGTCTGTTTACAGAGATATAAAACAACAATACTTAAATACTAAATCATCTTTGAAATACAAAGATTATGTATCAGAATTTTTTAATATTGCTAGAGGGGTTAAACAAGGAGACACCCTGATCCCCACTTTATTTAATGTCTTCATAAATGATATTGTAAAAAATTTTGAGGGAAATGATTCAAGTCCCCTTAAGCTTATAAATAGTAAGGTGGGATGCCTCCTTTTTGCAGATGATCTTTTGATCCTGTCAGAATCGAAAGAGGGTCTTCAAAACAGTTTAAATAATGTTAAATTATATTGCAACAAATGGCAACTCTCTTTAAATACAAACAAAACAAAATCCATGATTTGCAGTCAGTCCAAACAAAATGGAGAAACACCTCATATTTACTATGAGAATGAAGCCATAGAGAGCGTATCAGAATATTCATTTTTGGGAATGTTGATAAAATGTAATGGAAATTTATCACAAAGTACCTTAGAGCTGACAAAAAAGGCAAAAAAAGTATTTTTTGCAATAAAATCCTATACTAAATCATTGAATAATCTACCTATAAAAGTAGCAAATAACCTTTTTGATTCTTTAGTAAAACCAAATTATTATGACCTATAATTCAGAAGTAACATATTTGGATACATATATTTCTTTTCATAGAGCCAAAAACAGAGCCTTATCTTCAGGAAAACAAATTAATCAACTTGATTTTACAGACAGATCATCTATTGAAAATATGCATCTTAAATTTTGTAAATCTACTCTAGGAATAAGAAAAAATGCATCCAATTTAGGAGCAAGAGTTGAATTAGGAAGATTGCCTATAGAATGTTTTATTAAAACACAAACCCTTTTATATTTAGCTAGACTATATAATAATAATATTAATCCATTGATAAAGGAAGCTTTTTCTCTAGCACAGTCTCTAGATTTGACTGGAACTTATTCATGGTATACATATGCAAAAAATATTGTTGAAGAGACTAATATTGACCTTAATATTTTTTCTTATTGTAAGGACATAAAAGATGTAAATAAAATAAAAAACGATATAAAGTTAAAAATGAAAAATATATATGAAGATTTAATTGAAACTAAATTTGAAAGCATTGATGATAAAAGTAAATTTTATCTATATAAAAAACTTAAAAAGGATTGCAAACTAGAATCTTATCTAAATATATCTAATTTTCAGATAAGGAGATTGATCACTAAATTTAGACTAAGTGATCACTCCCTCTTAATTTAAAAGGGGAGATATTTTAAAATCCCAAGAGAGGAACGACTTTGTCATAAATGTAAAATACTTGAGGATGAGAAACATTTTTTACTCTATTGTGATTATAATAAAACACTAAGAAATGCCTTTTTGAACACATATGTACTGAAAATAATAACTTTAGTAATTTAAATGAAGAAGAAAAATATCATTATTTACTAAATCCATCAACGCCTTTACGAACAAATAAGTTAGGATCCTTCTTGAAAAAGTCATTAGAACTGGTATAATATGAAAAGAAAAATAATATATATCACTAGTAAAATTGCTGAAATGTTTCCCTTGTCATGAAACATTATTGAAGGTGTTAGGAAGGTGGATGGTGGGTGGTAAATTGAATAATAGCACTGTAAACTATATCAACTAGTCAGACTGCTATAAACCTAGAAAGTGATTATACAAAGACTATGCATATGGCTTCACACACAGGTTGGGTACATCAATCATACTGTGGGAGGAGACTGACCTCACTTGGCCTTCAGAATGATATACTAATTGCTGTGCAATAAATTTTATAAGATCTGTTATCATAATCTGCATTTCCTCACTAAGAGTAATTGTTTGTGACATGTATCTGATTAGGAAAAGATTAGTGTGCGTCCTGGTGAGACTCCATAACCTCAAAGTGTCAAATACCATAGAAATTATTCTCAAGCTAAAACAGGTGGTCAGTGATGTTAAATGTATCAATGATGTCAGCATCTTTCATAAGATATTAATTAAATGCTTGTTTGTATAAACAAAACTTATATTACATATAAGTAAAACAAAATCATCACTTGTCTATAGTATGGTATAAATTCAAGTCTCAATGTAGAAATTGATGACAAAAATTATAAAACACGAACATTCAGTAAATGAACATGTAACGTGGGGAGTAAACTTTTTTTTCAGAATACAAGTATTTGTGAGTTCCCATCTAGAATTTTTTATGGTGGTAAATTAAAAACAGCTCATGAAGGTATTGGCAAAGCAGTTAAACCACTAAAGATGTGGCGGAAATCCAACAGCATCCCAAGAGTGTTTTGTCATGTTGAAGGAGAGGAAGAAACATTGACTGTAAAGACAAAGGAAGGGAATGAACAATCCAGGAGCAATAACAGAGAAATAGAACAAGTGGTAGGAAGTATTTTTAAAATCATGTCATGTTTACAGTTTTAAGGTTAAAATTATAAGTATTGCCTCTATTTTTCATGTATTTTTGTTTGCTGAAAGAAACTTATTCGTTCACAAGATTTTATTAATGGTTTGCAATTCTACTCGCCATTATTATTTTACAATTTCCCAGCTGCACTGCCCAAAGCCCACGGGATATGCCACTGACTCAATGAGCTACAACAAAAATGTGTATGAATGCTTCGCAAGTTAAGTTATGCTGATTAGTACGAATATAAAATGATTTTCCATTAACTGCTGTTCCAGGGTAGAAAATTGGCATGCATTTTACATATCAATTTTAAGGCTATTATGGGAGTTATCTCCCTCAGCATGAGTTTATAGTGCATTTAACAGAATTTATACCTAACCTTAAAAGGGTCAATACAATTACTATATATGAATTTCAGCATATTGTAAATACAGAAGTTATTGTGAGCATTTATTATTACGATTTTCACATGACTAACCAAAATTGAAGGTTAATTTTTGCGATTTCAGGAAAAGGTGAATACTGATATATGTATTAGATATCAGAATGGGAGTCTTTTTTTTTTGCAATACTTAACCAGTCACATTATTCACAATTAAAACCTCACAATTATTTCTGAAATTTACAGTACCGTACTTTTATATCCCAAATAAGATATCAAAAAGCTTTCAACCCTTGAATTTAGGTTCTAAAATTGTGATACCACTTCAACTTTCTGTTTCAAATTCATTGATCACCTTTATTTTATTATTTCTAGTTTAGTTAAAAGTATTTCGACACATGGTCACAGATGAAGGTGTGGATCCAAAAACTATTAATGTTATGTCTCAGTACAATGCCCAATGTACAGCACTGAGAGAAGAACTAACAAAGAAAGGCTTTGACAAGTTCAATGTCACAACAGTTGTCTCTAGTCAAGGTATTGCTTATTTTCATTCTTTTTCATTCTCTTTGTCTCAAAATGACATTCTATACATAACAACTGGTTTTTATCTTGAAAGAAGCTGTGGGACAATTGATATTGAAATAATCACTTACAGCAATACAACACTTTTTGGTTGATACCTAGTGCTACTTTTGTTAATTGTTGATACCATATATGCATAACAATAGCTTTTTTTAAGGTTAGTAACTAGATTTTGATACTCTTCTAATAAGAAGCACACTGTAGACCTTTTGACATAATTCACCATAAATTATTTAATGGATTTCCTTGAAACAAAGTACTAAGATATAGTATCTTATGAACATTTGCATACACTAAATAAATTTGGTATGCCAATTTTAAATAGATCAGAGTAATCACAATTTACAATCAGGCTTCCAATTGGCTATACATGTGTAAACCCTATGAAGATGTGTTTTTGAGAGATATTGATAGATCTGAGTAGAGTAGAATGGATTTAGTTCCACTTTGGATTATCTTTTTTGAATATAAGGCTATGGGTGTTATTGTTTTTTAAGCCTTATTTTGTACATTTTACAGGTGGTGAATGGGACTATGTGATTTTCAGCCTGGTTAGATCATTACCTAAGTACTTGATAGAGAAGAATCCTACTGAAGGCTGGTGTATACAGAACCTTGGATTTATTACAGACAGACATCAGATTAATGTAGCTCTAACAAGAGCTAAGAAGGGACTCGTAATTATAGGTAATCCACCTCTCTACAGGTTTACATTAAGTATACATTAGAAAAAAAGAGGAAACAAATTCAAACAATATACTATTTTCATATTACCGACTTTTGAATCCGGTTTATATAATTTTTCGACAGGTTACCTACTCTTTGGTAGGACATTTTTTTACTCAGTCAAGTAAGAGCAACTTAAAGTATTAAAATCAAGCTTATAATCTGTTCAATTTAGGGTAAACAAATTACTGTTTTCTGATGATTTTGTTGTGTATAGAAATTACATAACACAGTTATTTTTTTTACATATGAATGAAAGTTATTATACCATAAAATTATAACTACAAATTGTGATTGATAATATGTGATTCTTTTAGTTCAATCTCAACCCGTAAAAACATAATTTATAATGAATGAAAAAGGCCAATTGTCAGGAAATGAAAAATTAGAAATGTCAAATATTAAAGTGTTATCTCCCCTTTTCTAATATTTTGAAATAAATCGTGAAACATCTCATTTTTTGTAAGCATAAGGCCATAAAGTTTTCAGCTGCCATCAAGCCAAGTATAAATAATAATAATAAATATCAAATGTATACTGAATGTATTTGTGATATAATTCAATAATAATTTTAACAGGGAACAAGAACTTACTGATTTGTGATGAAGTATGGAAGAAATTGATAGAGGACTATGAAGAGAAGGGTTGTATCTTTGATGCTCGTCAGTTTCCATGACAAACATGCTACTAAGGACATTATCAGGCTAATTTAATTTAAGTTTACTTAACAAATGACATTTTGGCAGCAGAAATGAATTGTTCTATATATATTTTATGTATGTTCTTGTGCAAACTTCTGAAATATGTTTAAACGGTTGTAAAGGTAAATATTTTTTACTTGAATTAATTAAGAATTGTAAATAGACTTATTATAACACACAAAATATTTGAAATTTAAATTGAACACCTCTCAATAGGACAAACTAAATTAAACACATGTCTATAGGTCAAACAAAGTTGAACACCTGTCTTTAGTTCAAACAACATAAAACATCTGTCTATAGATCACACTAAATTCAACACCTGTCTATAGATCAAACTAAATTAAACACCTGTCTATAGGTCAAATTAAAAATGATTCAAGGTTAATATGTGAAAGCAGATCTTTTCTAAAGGTTTTGAATATTGAAAAAATAAGAAATTTATAAAAACAACAACAACAATACTTTTATTTTACAAGGGTTATACAGTTAGCTATAAAACTAATCTTCCCTGAGGCCCTCGTTATAGAAAACCATAAATAAAAACCCAAAAATTCATTCAAAAACAAAATGCAAACATATGTATACATGGCATACAAAAATGTTATGAAAAAATAAACATGATGAAATAAAATAATATTTAACATTTTTTCAATTGATTGATTTCAATAAATGATCTGTTTTTTGTATTTGAAAGAATGAACATTTGTAATATTGTAAAGATATAGGCAAATTGTTTCACAAGTATGGTTCAGAATACATACATGTAAATGATTTCTTGAACAATTTGATTTTTGTCGAGCCTGCGACTTTTGTCGCAGAAAGCTCGACATAGGGATAGTGATCCGGCGGCGGCGTTAGCTAACTTCTTAAAAGCTTTATATTTTAGAAGGTGGAAGGTCTGGATGCTTCATACTTTGTATATGGATGCCTCATGATACGAAGTTTCCGTCAGTCACATGTCTAATGTCCTTGACCTCATTTTCATGGTTCAGTCACTACTTGAAAAAAAAGTTAAGATTTTTTGTAATGTCAAATTCTTTCTTATTATAAGTAATAGGATAACTATATTTGGTATGTGCGTACCTTGCAAGGTCCTCATGCCCGTTAGACCGTTTTCACTTGACCTCGACCTCATTTCATGGATCAGTGAACAAGGTTAAGTTTTGGTGGTCAAGTCCATATCTCAGATACTATAAGCAATAGGTCTAGTATATTCGGTGTATGGAAGGACTGTAAGGTGTACATGTCCAACTGGCAGGTGTCATCTGACCTTGACTTCATTTTCATGGTTCAGTGGTTATAGTTGAGTTTTTGTGTTTTGGTCTGTTTTTCTTATACTGTATGCAATAGGTCTACTATATTTGGTGTATGGAATGATTGTAATGTGTACATGTCTAGCTGGCAGGTGTCATCTGACCTTGACCTCATTTTCACGGTTCTGTGGTCAAAGTTAAGTTTTTGAGTTATGGTCTTTTTTTCTAATACTATATGCAATAGTTCAACTATATTTGGTGTATGGAAATATTTTATGATCTATTTGTCAGTCATGCAGTTTTTTTTTTTACCTTGACCTCATTTTCAAGGTTCATTGCTCAGTGTTAAGTGTTTGTGTTTTGGTCTGTTTTTCTTAAACTAAAAGCAATAGGTCAACTATGTTTGTTGTATGGAAGAATTGTTAGCTGTACATGCCTGCCTAGCATGGTTCATCTGACCTTGACCTTATTTTCATGGTTCATTGGTCAATGTTTAGTTTACTTGGTTAATAATAAGTTTATGTGACAGTTGTAATAAAGCTTTATATTTAGGACTATCAACATAATATCAATGATTAGTAAAGAAGGCGAGACATTTCAGCGTGTGCACTCTTGTTGGTTTAGGGAGTATGAGGTTTCCTTGAACAGCATTCCTCAAGGGGTATGGATTTCTGTCTGAAACATAATGAAACTTGCTAGTAAGATATGATGGGGTATCATTTTTTATGCACTAAAATATCATCACAAACATTTGATCAATTTATTCTCTGTTCAACTGTCTTTAATTGTTTGAATAAGGGCTCAGAAGGAGTGAAAGGGTCAGTTAATAGTATTATTCTAGCAGCTCTCTTTTGTAATTTTAAGATCCTGTTTAACCCTTCACTATAAGTTCTCACTATACAACAATAATCAATTAGTGTTAAAATAAAACCAATATAACATAATTTTTCTACTGTCTAGATTTAGAAATTTCTTAATCTATAATCAACAATCTCTTTTCAATTATGACATTTTATAGGTTGAATATGTTAGTTACTGAAGTCTGTGGTCTGAATTATATTTTCAAGTACAAAAGATGTTATTAGCACTATTTTGTGTTTTGAAAAACATTAAATTAAACACCTGTCTATAGATTTATCCACAGTTAGTTTGTGAAGTCATGATTTTTCTAAAGGTTCTAATAATAGAAAAAGAAAGAAATTTGTAATAGGTTGTATATGTTATAGTTAGTAAATATCTGTCTTAACAATATAAAAGTACGAAAGACGTTTTTTGGTGTTGTTTTGAGTATTGAAATATGTGCCATATTTTAAGTAAAACAATGTGCCATTAATGTCAACACCTTTATCTTAAAGCTACTTAAAAAGCTAAATCTTGCTTTTTCATAAGATGTGTTTATTAGTTTTTTTGTGTTGAATAGCTTTTCATATTTTCTTGTGTTGAATAGCTTTTCTTCATTTTTGTTGAGCCTTCGATTTTTGTCGAAAAAGCGAGACATAGCGATCCTATATTCCGTCGACGTCGGTGGCGGTGGCATCCACAAATATTCACTCTGTGGTTGAAGTTTTTGAAATTTTAATAACTTTCTTAAACTATCCTGGATTTCTACCAAACTAGGACAGAAGCTTGTTTATTATCATAAGATAGTATCCAGAAGTAAATTTTGTAAAAAAAAAATCCGTTTTTTCCGTCATTTACCTCTAAATGGACTTAGTTTTTCTGCCAGGAAACATTACATTCACTCTGTGGTTAAAGTTTTTAAAATTTTAATAACTTTCTTTAACTATCCTGGATTTCTACCAAACTAGGACAGAAGCTTGTTTATGATCATAAGATAGTATCCAGAAGTAAATTTTGTAAAAAAAAAAACAGTTTGTTTATGATCATAAGATAGTATCCAGAAGTAAATTTTGTAAAAACAAAAATCAATTTTTTCCGTATTTTACTTATAAACAGACTTAGTTTTTCTGCCAGGAAACATTACATTGACTCTGTGGTTAAAGTTTTAAAAACTTTAATAACTTTCTTAAACTATCCTGGATTTGTACCAAACTTGGACAGAAGCTTTGTTTATGATCAAAAGCTAGTATCTAGAAGTAAATTTTGTTCCTGTTTTTCCGTATTTTACTTATAAATGGACTTAGTTTTTCTTCCAGTTAACATTACATACAGTCTGCAGTTTAAGTTTTTAAAACATTTATTAGATTCATAAACTATCCTGGATTTTTACTAAACTTGGACAGAAGCTTCTTTCAATCAAAACATAGTATCAAGGGGAATATTTTAATTTTTTTTCCCTCATTTTTGTTGAGCCTGCGTTTAACAACACAAATAGGTGAGACACTGGGTTCCGGGGAACCCTTACGAATTTTTATGTTGAATAGCTTTTCATACTTTTTTGTGTTGAATAGCTTTTCATATTTTTTGTGTTGAATAGCTTGTCATTTTTTTTTGTGTTGAATAGCTTGTCATATTTTTTTATGTTGAATAGCTTGTCATGTTTTTTTGTGTTGAATATACTTGTCATATTTTTTTATGTTGAATAGCTTGTCATGTTTTTTGTGTTGAATAGCTTGTCATGTTTTAAGTTAAACATTGTGCCTTAATGTCCACATTCCATTTTACAGATATATAAAGAGCTAATTTTTGTCACATTTCAGACTATATATATATTTTTGTTTTCCTATATTTTGAATAATGTGCCATATTTATAGCTTAGTGTTGTGCCATCCGTAATTCACAATCAATGAACACATTTTTATTTAATGCTCATGTTTTTATTTATCTATTTATTTTATTATTTATTAACTTATTTATTATTTATTGAATTATTTATTTCTAGATACAGCATTAGTTTAAAAATATTCTGGTCAAGCAAAGCACAAAGGAAATGATACTTTTCTTAAATTTTTACTTTTTCACAAATTAGACAGTAAATGCTTATGATTGAGAAAATTGGAAAATGCTAAAAATTAGAAGATGTGTCTAGAATTTTAACAAAAATGAGGACATAATTAAACTTCTGTAAGAAGAAAAGAGCAAAATAAAAACCCTAATTTTTAATATTCAAATTCAAATTGTAAATTATTAGTTGAATATACTTTAAGGCAACTAATTTTAAGGTTTCAAAAATTGAATGACTTTTTAGATGAGATCAGAATGTTGAAGTAAAAGTATTTAATGTATAATGTTAATTAAAAATTCTCTCAAATTGTTCAAGTACTTGTAGAAGAATTGGCAACCAAAATTAGGTTATGGTGATATAATTAATAATATTTTCTTCAGGCAAACACTATTCTTGAGTATAGCTGATTAAAGTTTAGAAGTTGCATGTACTTTACTGTGTACCATTTGCTAGTATACTTTTATCGTTTATTGTTTTGTACATATATCAGGCCATTTGTTTTCTCCTTTGAATTGTTTTATATTTGTCCTTTGGTACCTTTTATAGCTCACTATGCGGTATGGGTTTTGCTCATTGTTGAAGGCCGTATGGTGACCTATAGTTAATAACTTGTACATCATTTGGTCTCATGTGGAGAGATGTCTCATTTGCAATCATACCACATCTTATTTTTATGTTTAAAAACATATCATTATTGTATAGACACAGTGAATCATTTATTGTACCATTTACTAGTACCGGTGACCTTGAAGCAGTTGTTATGTAGATTAGTTTATGATTTGTTACTGATTTATTTAAAACACCAAATCATGATGCAATACGAAAAAATCACCCTACTGCTCCGTAATATTGTAAGGTTTGTGTAAAGTGAAATCTTCTCATAGATTATAATGCAATATTATTGATTAATGATTGATTAATGTTTGCTATAAGCCGTCTTAGGCACACAAAAATTATATTGCAGTGAGGAATGATTTATAAATTGGATCGATAGGGATCTATCTTTGTTTTATTGTTGTTTGTCTTTAGGCAAAATTAAACACTGTATCTATGCATAAGAAATGTATGTAAGGTGCATGTCTCTGTGACACACATGAAGAACAACATTTCAAAAGTATACTTAATTTATATT